GGAGGGCGTTCGGGTCGCTCCCACCCTGAAAGGTCACTGCGCCAAAGCCCAGCGTGGGCAGCCTGCTGCTGTTTCCTCCCGCGGACTCCGCTGAGCAGTGTCCTACGCCACAGCCTGGGAAGCCGATGCTGTGTTTCAGGACGGCCTGGGGGATTGGCCGTGCGGGCTGGAGGGGCTTTGGCGTGCTCCCCTGTGCAGTGCTAATGCTATTAGGTCGAGACAGACGAGCAGCCTGGGGTTTGGAGCACAAACACTCGCTTCCCTGACTATACACAAAGCTGCTTAGGGGGCCGGTTGGCTCCACAGCTGCCACGCGCTCAGAAACACAGATTTAGCCTCGTGGATGTTTTATCTCCGGCCTGGTCACGAGGGAAGATGGCTGAAATAATACAGGGATGTTTATTTCTGACCGGGAAGGTTCAAGAAGGGGAGCTGCTACCCGGTGAACACCTCTCATCCGCCTGCGGGCTGACTGTGTGCGAGGCGGTGAACGGTGGTGCTGCAAGGCCGCCGCGAGGAGTTTGTGGAAATCCTGATGAGGTTGTGCGTCATGTGAGCAGGATTTTTGCTAATTGGCAGGCAAATCTCTCGCTGCAGGTTTAGCTTTGGCCATGTCAGCAAAATGTGTGAAGGACCTGGCATTCAGTGGGTTCTTGTAATGCAAATGAGGTTTCTGCTTAATCTCGGAGCGCATTCTCTCTCTTAACGATACTTTTTCCTCTTCTCTCTTTCCCACCGCTCTCAGGGAGAAGACAGCTTCTTAGAAAAGGTAACGCAAGCAATGGCTGGGGAATTCTGCTGCTCTGTGGCTTGTTTGTAAAGAGTGAGAGTTCTCCTCCTGTTCTCTGCTGAGGAGGGGAGGGGAGGTGGGTGCAGAGGGAGCAGTGGTTCCAGCAAAGCCTCTTAGCACAGCTGTGGGCTGGATGGGAACATGCAGGAGCACAAAGTGACCCCGTAGCCAAGGTGGGCCAGCCCAACTGAGCTGCTTAAACCTCACAAAATTTGCTTTGGGGAAAAAGAAAATACTCTCCTGATCCTAGCAGCGATGATAGATATTGCCAGAAAAGTTTGGCAACCTTTGACGTGTCTGAATTGGCTCTAACCATGCACGTAAGGTGGGGTTCACGGTCCCACCCCTTCAGACACGTGGGGAGAGGGCTGAGCTAGAAAACCGAAGTCTTTCTCCCTTCCCGTCTCGGTGTGTCCTTGTGGAGGCCGAGGGATGGCCTCGCGTGGGAGGCAGACGTTTCCCCGCGGCAGCGCTTGGGCTGCCGGCTCTCCGAGCC